GGAACCTGGGGTCTCTGGGCACGTCTGCCACTCCTGCTGGTTCCCAGAATACAGACTTACAGGTCCTGTACAGGCACAACTGTTCAGACGGAACGTTCCCAGAGCAGAAAATGACTGACAGACATTAAGACCAAGACAAACCACAAAACAAATATTCTTACCTCCTGCTGATCTGAGGAAATGGGTCTGGGGGCGACCAAATCCCGGAGAGCCCCCAAATGTAGGACCCCCAGACTGGGGTACCCTACGTTCACGGGAGGTCGCACCCCAATAACTCAGTCCTCAAACCAGTAGATGCAATAGCAAGAGGAATTTAATGGCGTTTTGCAAAACGGACTCCTGCCTCACTCGGAGGACAGAAGCCCAGAGCCCAGTTCACAGGTTTCTTTTAAAGACAAGCGGCGGCTATGTGCCAAGCAGAAAAGTGGTGGCTATGTGCCAAGCAGAGGTAGGGGGAATTTCTGGGATGATTTCTAACTTGGGCAGAGGAGCATGAAAAAGGTAAGCTCAGCTTGTTCTTAGCATTCAGAATTATTTTTCATTTTTACTTCCTTGTACAGTTTTTTTCAGGCCTGGGGGATTTTAGTTTAAATCCATTATTCTGGGGGCTTTAGATCCATCAAAAGAGGGGTGGGGAGGGAGGAAAAAGGGACGGCAGGGAGGGAGGGAGGAAAGAACCCAAGGAAATAGAACACCTAAACAAGTACACATAAATTAGGGTTATTTGATCAAAGACTGATCAGGGACATTTGGCATGAACAAAAATGTTTGCCACACTCAGAAAGTTAGCTTGTCTATAGTGAATGGATCTGGATCCCTCTATTTCATCTTTCCTTTTTTTTTAACTACTAGGTTGAGATAGGCAAAACTGTGTTAGTGGTTGTACGGGTTCTTGGCTCTTCCAAACACCCATTCCGAAATAAGTACTTCAGAAACATGGACCTTAGACTGCAGCTGGCTTCTGCCATTGTCACCCTGAGGTGAGTACCCTTCAAGTGCTACTTTTCCTCCTCCTGCTGACCTGTGAGCTTTCCCTTAGGTTAGTCAGATCTTCTTTTGCAATGGAGCCTCTCAGTCTATACGTACTTCCTATATTCAGTGTTCTACAATGTGCATTCAAGCTGGGTATGATGGTGCACGTTAGAAATAAATTCTGCTGGGCATGATGGCACGTATCTTTAGTCTCAAGCACTCAGGAGGCAGAGGCAGATAGATCTCTGTGACTTCCAGGTCAGCTAGAGCTACATAGTGAGACCCTGTCTCAAAACAACAGAAAAGACCAGGCATGGTGGTGCGCACCTTTAATTCCAGCACTAAGGAAGCAGAGGCAGGTGGATTTCTGTGAGTTCAAGGCCAGCCTGGTCTACATAGCAAGTTCCAGGCCAGCTGGGGCTACAGGGAGACCCTGTCTCAAACACACACGTGCACACACACACACACACACACACATACACACACACACACACACCAAAGGAATGTCAAAGGAATGTCAAAGGAATGAACTTGGCCAAGGTCTCTACCGATACCACACAAAGACCAGGTGGACAAAGCAAATTAACTTAGTAAGGCAGCTTTTACTTTTACAAAAAGGTATGTTGCCTCATTCAGGTAGTAAGCAATCACACAGAGTAAAATTTTGATAGATTTTTATTCTAGTGAAAGAATGTTCGTCCTTTCTCCATTGGCTGGGGTCCAACCTCCCAGTCTTTTGAGACTGCCTAGTTTTAAAGAATCAAAGAAAACAAAGGGAAAGGGAAAGGGATTGGCTACTCCAGGCCATCAGGTTCCAGGATGCAACAGGGCCTTTGTGTAAATAAAAGTTTTACAAGGTGCCCAAAGATTGAAAGATTTGAATTCCACAAGTTTTACAAGGTGGAGGAGGTAACAAAATAGCACCACAAAGGTTACATCCCTGTGATCATTCTTTTGATAGAAAAGATCTGAATTCTTTGTAATTATTTCCTTCACACACCTGTAATGCCAGCCACTCAGGAATCTGAAGCAGGAGGATCTTAGATTTGAGTCAGCCTAGGCTCATAGAAAGGCACTACCAAAAAAAAGGAAGGGAGGGAGGGAGGGAGGGAAGGAGGGAGGGAGGAAGAAAGAAAAAAATTTAAGGTCCTTAAATGTCTTATTTGGGGGCTAAATTTATCTTTTTTGTTTCTTTTTGGTCTTTTTGAGACAGGGTCTCCCTGTAGCCCCAAGCTGGCCTGGATTTGCTATTGAGACCAGGCTGGCCTTGAACTCACAGAGATCCGCCTGCCTCTGCCTCCTGAGTGCTGGGACCAAAGGCGTGCGCTACCACTCCCAGCCTGAGGGCTAAATTTATATGTTATTACTATTTTTATTTTCTGAAATTTCTCCTTGGATGGTATCTTTTGGGGGTACTTCAGCCTAGAAAACCTTCAAAACTTGTTGACAAACAGATATTCTGGTACTTTCCTTTGAGAAAGAAGAAATTCAAGAATTCCACTAGGCACAGTAGTTTACACCTGTAATCCCAGCACTTGGGAGGGGCAGGCAGGATTGTGAGTTCAAGGCCAGCCTGAGCTACATAAGATTCTGTCTAAAAAACACATACAGCTGGGTGTGGTGGTGCACACCTTTGATCCCAGCACTTGAGAGGCAGAGGCAGGCAGATCTCTGTGAGTTCAAGGCCAGCCTGGTCTACATAGTGAGTTCCAGGACAGCTGGGGCTACAGGGAGACCCTGTCTCAAAAAGGCAAAAAATAAATAAATAAAATAAAAAACACATACAAAAAATTCCAAGGCAATATGGTATTTGCAATTTTGCCAGTCTGTGTTTTTGTTACCCTTATTCCTATCAGCCTCTGAAAAAGTTTTGCTCCTCGTGAACGTCCTGCCATTAGCAGGACATTTCCCTAATCCCTGGAAATTCATTTTCAAGTAGTGCCCTCAGTCAGAGTTAATTTTTGATTTATTTTATTTTTATGTGTATCAGTGTTTTGCACCCAGGTCATGAAATTCCTACGGATACCAGAAGAGAATGTTGGATCCCCTGGAACTGGAGTTACAGACAGTTGTTAGCCACCATGTGGGTACTGGGAACCAAACCCAGGTCCTCTGCAAGAGCAGCTAGTGCTCTTAACCACTGAGCCATCTGTCCAGTCTCTCAGCCAGAATTAAAATGAGCAGAAAATATTAAGCATCTTGGAATTGCTTAACCTTCTGACCTTCTCAAATTGCTGACCCTTCTCAAAACTAGATTCTTCTCACCAATACCATGTGAGTCTTTGCAGATTAATGGAGGATCAGGATGAATACTCTGAAAACTACATGCTTCGTGCTGTCACTGTTGGGGAAACCACACTTGTAGCCACTGCCACAGATAGTATGGGAAGAAAAGTGATGTCAGCTCCTCGGCACATTGAAGTAAGGCATGCTTTCATCTAGAACATGCACTGTCTCATGAAACATTGTTTAGCCCTTTCTGTGATGCATAATATGTTTTTCCCCTGCCTTCCCCCGTAATATGTTTTTAAAAATATTTTATTTTTATTTATGTGTAGGAGTGTTTTGCCTGCATGTATGTAAGTGCACCACATGCGTGAAATGCCTGTAGAAGCCAGAAGAGGGTGTTGGAGCCCCTGGAACTGAAGTTACAGATAGTTGTTAGCTGCCTTGTGGGTGCTAGGAACTGAATCTGGGTCCTCTGGAAGAACAAGTGTTCTTCACCACTGAACCATCTCTCCAGCCCCAGCATAATATGTTTTGGTTTTGGTTTTTCTATATAAAAGCAATAGTTTGCTCTTCCATACCATTAAATAAATACATGGACCACTGTTCTTATAGAAAATTTGGAAAGCACAAAAAAGTTTAAAGATGAAGAAATGATGGGGTGTGGTGGTGCATACCTGTAATTCCAACACTCAGAAGGCAGGGACAAGTGGCTCTTCAAGCCAGCCAGAGGTACACAGTGAGATTCTGCCTTAAATAAATAAATAATAAATAAATAAGTAAATCTTGGTGAGAACTCTCAGTCAATAAAGTTCTTGCTGCGCAAGCCTAATGACCACCTGAGTTCAATCCCTGGAACCCACAGTGGAAGGAGAAAACTGACTTCTGAAAGTTGTCCTCTGACCTCCACACATGTGTCCTAGCACACACTCTTATACACACACCATACACAAATCCTAATAATAAATAAATAAAAATAACTTGAGGGGCTAGAGAGATGGCTCAGCAGCTAAAGGCACTTGCTTTTGCAGAGGACTCAGGTTCCATTCCCAGCACATACATGGCGGCTATGGACTGATTCTAACTCAAGTTCCAGGGTATCTGACATCCTCTTACTTCCATGGGCACCAAGCACATTTGTGATCAAAACACTCATATACCGTAAATTTTAAAAAATAAGGCTGGGCTTGGCGGTGCATGCCTTTAATCCCAGCACTCAGCAGATTGCGAGTTTGAGGCCAGCCTGGTCTACATAGTGAGTTCCAGGACAGCTGGGGCTACAGGGAGACCCTGTCTCAAAAAGGCCAAATAAATGAAAAATAAAAATAAATAAAGGAAATGAATCTTTTTTTTAAGGAAATGAATCTTTTTTAAAGGCAATGAATGAATGAATGAATGAATAGAATAGAATAAAAATGACCTGTGGCTCTACCGTCATCAAAATTTCATTTTAAAAAAAGCTGAGCATGGTGGTCTGTAATCCTAGCACTCAGGAGGCAGAGACAGGAGGATTGCAGCAAATTTGAGGCAAGCCTCGTCTACCTAAGGAGTTCAACACCACCCAGGGCTTTGTAGCAAGATCCTGTTTCAAAAAAGCAAACGAGCAAAATTCATTATGTTTCTTTCCTTCCTTTCTGCCTCCATGTCTCCCCCTAACCACCCCGCCCCTCTGTTTTGCTGTTTGTTTTTGAGATAGGTTGTTGTCATTTTGCCTAGACGGGCACCAAAGTCCTAGGCTCAAGTGATTTTCCTGTCTCAGCCTGAGTAGCTGGGACTACAGGTACGTGCCAACGTTTCCCAGCTCTTTGTCTGCATACTTTTGCTTCTTTGTTAAGACAGGATCTCATTCCTTTTCCCAGGCTGGCTGGAACTCATTATGTAGCTGAAACTGGCTTCAGACTATCAGCAACCTCCTGTCTCAGTCTCCCAAATGCTGGAATTACAGGCTTGAGCCACCAAGCTGGGCAAAGATACGTGTATTTTTTTTTCTACCATGCCCAGTTTTTATCATTCTGAGAATCAAACCCTGGGCTTTGATGTTAGGCATGGACTCTCCACTGAAGTATATCTCCAGCCCTTTGATCTTGTAACATGAATAAATATTTCTTTTTTTTCTTTTTCTGTCTTTTATTTGTTTACCTTGGGGAGGGGCTTTCCAGACAGAGTCTTCCTGTAGCCCCAGCTGGCCTATATCACTGTAGATGAGGCTGGCCTGTCACAGAGATCCACCTGCCTCTACCTCTGGAGTGCTGTGATTAAAGGCATGCACCACCACACCCAGTATGTCTGTTCACTTTTTGAGACAGGGTCTCATGGATTCCAAACTGGTTTTGAATTCACTATTCTGAGTGCTGGGATTACAGACATCTGCTACCACATCCAGTTTTATGTGGTGCTAGGGATGGAACCCAGGGCTTTATGCATGCTATATAAGCACTCTACCAACTGAGCTACATCTGCAGCCCAATACCACTTTTTTCATTTTAGCCTTACATCAAAAGTAATTTCTAGCTGGGCGTGGTACTCCTCTATAAAATTTTTTTATAAAATATTTTATTATTTTTATTTTATGTGTACGCATGTATTGTCTACATGTAGGTAAGTGCACCTGTGTCATGCAGTGGCCATGGAGGACAGAAAAGGCTGTCAGATCCCCTGGAACTGGAGTTATGGACTGTTGTTAGCTGCCATGTGGGTGCAGGGATTCGAACCTGGGTCTTCTGCAAGAACAGCCAGGGTTCTTAACTGCTGAGCCATCTCTCCATCCTCTAAAATATATTTTTAAAGAGACAAAGAAAGGTAATTTCTTGGGGCTGGGGAGAAGGTTCAGCACACTAGTTTGATCCCCAGTACCCACATAAACAGCCAGGCATGACACATACCTGTAAGGCATACCTGGGAGGCAGAGGCAGATTTCTGGGGCTTGCTAGCCAACCAGTCTAGCTCAGTCAGTGAGCTTCAGGTTCAGTGGGAGAGCCTGCCTCCAAAAATAAAGTGAAGGATGACTGAAGACAGCCAGTATTGACCACTGGCCTCCACAGATATGCACACATATACACACACAGGAACACACACACACACACACACACACAACATCTGGAATTTAAACATACCAATGACTATGTATACAAAGTAATTTTTAAAATATATTTATTTTATGTGTGTGTGTGTGTGTGTCTGTTTGCCTGCATGTGTACAACCTCTGTTCAGTTTACAAGATAACTGTACCAAGGCTGTCAAGATGACTTAGTAGATAAAGCACTTGTCCTGCAAACCTGAGAACCCAAGTTCAACCCCTTGTTCCCATGTAAAGGTAGAAGGCGAGAACTGGCTCCACAAAATAGCCCTCTGACCGTATGCTGTAGTGTGTGTGCACACACCCTCCTCATCGTATACACACAATAACAAATAAATAACAATTTTTTTTTTTTGTCTTTTTGAGACAGGTTCTCCCTGTAGCTCCAGCTGTCCTGGAACTCACTATGTAGACCAGGCTGGCCTTGAACTCTCAGAGATCCACCTGCCTCTGCCTCCTGAGTGCTGGGATTAAAGGCGTATGCCACCACACCCAGCAATAAATAATAATTATAAAAAATAAAAGATAGTTGTGGGACAAAGGCAGGAGAATTGCTGCAAGTTCAAAGCCAGCCTGTCTACAAAGTGTTTCAGGCCAACTAGGGCTTCACTGTGATACCCTGTCTCTAAAAGACAAAATAAACAGATAATTTAAAGATAGGGCTTTCTGGGCATGGTGGCACACGCCTTTAATGGCAGCACTTGGGAGGTAGAGGCAGGTGGATCTTTGTGAGTTGAGGCCAACCTGGTCTACATAGTATTACAGAGTTCGGAACCACCAGGAAGTACCCCTCAGGCTCCAAAAAAAAAAAAAAAAAGTTCCAAAATCAGCTGAATCTATTTAGTTTAGCTGACTAGCACTCTCTGAGCCAATTTAGGAAGTGCCGCCCTAACTGGGAGGAGACGGGATAAAGGTAAAGTCCAAAAGATAAAGTCCTTCGTACAAGATTTAAGCCTTCACAGTTTTATTAGTATTTTAATGAAAAATCCTCAAGGGGGGCAGCCAGGCTGGTCATCTTGGCAGCTGCCTTGAGGAGGAGAGTGGAGGGGAGAAGGAAAGAAAGCCGTGAAGCCGTGCGGGTTTACAGCCTGTATGAGGGGTCGGACACAGGGCTGACTGGCAGCCACATGGCTGGGAGAAGGAAGCTTTAGAGAAAGTAAAGAAGTACAAGCTGCCAGGGGCAGCCCAAAGCCTGAAAGAAAGCGTGTTTAGAAAATTTAGAAAAGGGATATGTAGAAGAAAAGGAAAAGTGGGAAGACCTACAGACTACATGACTGTGGCTGGTCCAGAAGTTCTGAGCTAGGTGGCATTCCAGGCAGGAAAACGTCCCTATCTCATTAACCCACTAGGTATTCCGCCCATCTATTTAGAATAACTTAGGGTGAACCTGCCTTCCTAGGGCTGGTCCTGTGACCAGATGATTGACCAGTGAAACTGGAAAGGTGGGTCTTTTAACAGACTAGTCTTGATCAGTTAAACTTATGGGGCTATTACAATAATGAGTTCCAGCCACCCAGGACTACAGAGTAAGACCCTGACTCAGAAACAAGAAAAAAGCAATGGGGCGGGGGGCCCTGAGGTTATAGCTCAATTGTAAAGTGCTTACTTAGCATGCATCAGATTGTGGGTTCTATCCCCAGTACCAAAAAAACAAAACAAGACAAAGATAATTGTCAAACATAGCTTTATAAATAGTCAAGGTGGATGATGCGTGCCTGAGAATTAGTTACATTGTTTCTGTACCTATATATGTTCAAAAACAAAATTACAAGTACAAAAATTTTTTTGGTCTTTTTGAGAAAAGGTCTCCGTGTAGCCCTAGCTGACCTGTACACCAGGCTGGCCTTGAACTCACAGACATCTGCCTGCCTCTGCCTCCCAGGTGCTAAGATTAAAGGCGTGCTCCATCACACCCAGCCTATAAATATAAATTTTTATACTTTATTTTGTGTATAGGAGAGACATGCATGGTATTCATGTCAAGGTCAGAGGGATTGAACACAAGTAGTCAAGCTTTACCCTTTACCCACTGAACCATCTCCCCAGCCCTATAAATATAATCTTTTAAAAATATATTTCTGGCCAGGTGTGGTGGTGCACGCCTTTAATCCCAGCACTGGGAGGCAGAGGCAGGCAGATCTCTGTGAGTTCAAGGCCAGCCTGGTCTATATAGTGAGTTCCCAGGACAGCTGGGGCTACAGGGAGACCCTGTCTCAAAAAGAGCAAA